GATGGATGGATGGATGGATGGATGGATGGATGGATGGATGGATGGATGGATGGATAGAAATATACTCGCTACTCACATTTACTGCCTCTCCCATTACCATCCCTCATGGGAACCTCATTCAGATGTATTGAGGGCCTATGATCTCCATCCCTCGTCCCACTCCCCTGCACAGGCGTCGGGTCATGAACGACGGTTTTATCTTCGTCATCGTAGTCACCGTCATCGTCCAAAATATCGTATTTCGTAGAGACTGGTCGACGAGACAAAGAACGACGACTTTTTGAAGGGATCACTTTAGGCCGCTCTCTTAAACTATCTCTCACTCTGCTCGTGCATTGTTCAATTTGGCCTAAAAGGTCAAGAATCTCCATTGTCTTTGAAATGTCCAACTTTTTGGACGATGAATCGCGAAAGGAATCCAGATTAATTCCCTGGACCTTAGCTAATACATCCTCCAGAATAGCTTTGGCATCCTGAGGACCAGGCAGTTCTGCTCTGGCCGTGGTGTTCTGAGTAGGTTCCATCGTCAAACTGTGCAAGTTTTGTCCCCAACACCGGTATGAAAGACGAGAACACTGTGGAGAATAAAAGCTCTTCTCCTCAGAACAACAACAGAGACATGTGATCGCAACAATTTATTTATTTGTGAGACATCGTGGTGAAATCAGGTGCTCGTCAAAATAACGAAATCGAAGAAAACAGCATTTTCCGCAAGTCAATCAATTTTTATCATTTTTTTACGTCTATTTAAAAGCATATTGCTATGTGAATTTTACTTTTAAAATGTACACAAGTATATGTACATTATCAGTGTTCAAGAACTCTCAAGCTATGAAAGTCCCTAAACTTTAGCGGCTATTTTCAAGCTAATTCCACCGCTGGAACCAGGTGACCCACGCCTCTTTCAATGGCAAATATCTAGACTTCTATTCAAGATAGATAAGTACAGGGTGATCCAAAAAATCTTTATAATTTTTTTTCTAAATATCTCTCGCAAATGTTGTTCTAGAAAGATAAAATTTTGAACAGATAAACTTTACTCAAAAGGAATTTGTTTGACATAAAATTCATACAGAAGAAACTTATTTTCAGAACGGAAAAAGAAAAAAGAAAAAAACACCCATAAACGTAAAATGCTCCAATTTTTTAAAAAGACATTCTCGCAAGGAAAGTCATGAGAAGATTGATTTGATTTTGTCTTCTTTTTCTCTATACCATTTAATAATTGTTCCAACCTTGTGACATTAAACAATATTTAACTTCTTTTTAGGGAGTTAAAGAACTGACATTTTTGTTCTGGAATTTCTAAAACAAATGCTCCACATGTCCTCCTTCGGACTTCAAACATCTTTTAACGCGTCGTTTGAAATGCTCGATGACGACCAAACACAGTTCCCGCGGAATGTTTCTCACTTCATCACGGATTGCTTGTTTCATAATTTCAATGTTTTCAAACATGTTTTGAAATGTCCTGTCCTTCAGATAGCCCCACAAGAAAAAGTCTTAAGGATTCAGGTCAGGAGAATGCGGAGCTCAAATGTGTTCACTACTGCGACTGATCATAATAATGATCTCCAAAGTGGTCAGCTAGCCATGTCATTGATCTGACTGAAACATGTGGATTGGCCCCATCTTGCATGAACCACTGGTCTTGGCGATCCAAATGCCGGTGTCTCCCCAGATCCGTCCAGAATTTCTTCAGCACCTCGATATATCGGTGTGTGTTCACAGTTGCAACATGTCCGTCTGCGTCTTCAAAAAAAAAAGGACCCACCAAACCATGAGTGCTTAAAGCCACCCACACTGTACACCTTTCAGCATGGAGTGGCTTCTGGAGACAGTAGGGAGGTAGGTGGGATGTCCAATAGACAGCAGTTTAGGAGTTTACATAATATCCTGAAAGTTGAAAATGCGCTTCGTCATTGAACCGGATGTCATCTAAGAAACTCTCGCGTTCTCCAAGGCGGTCGAGGAACCACCGACACATTGCCATCCTCTGCCCCCGGTCAGTCTCGCGAGGCGTCTGCCTAACATGAATATAGTATGGGCGGACAGATATCTTATTAGATTCAGCGACTGAGTTCTGCACCCTGACGATGTTTAGAGGGGTTCGAATGGAATGGTGCACGATCGACCTGAAGCGGTCGCTTTTTCAGGGTATTTTTTTGTTTTGATTTTCTATACACCGAAACTGACGTAACTATTTTACCCTTAACATCAAAGAAGGCCTTGATGGCACTTAAGCATTCTTCCCGTACCTTGTGCGGAACTTACCATATGTCAGGGATGGTGATTTTGTGGAGAGGTAATGTTCAATACAAAATGCTCTCTGCTCCTTATTAAACTGAACCACGATTTGCATAAACAAAAAGAACTTGAAAAATAATAATGTCTGCAAACTTCCGTTGGCCTGTTAGACTGCTGCAGCTTGCATTATGTCTTTAATGACGCAATTGTTACGACACTTTGTGGTAATGCGTACTGATGTGTAGTGTAATAAAAGGGGACAAAAGCATAAAATGGGTTGGGTTTTTTTAATGCACATTATACTACATAATTATTTAGTGGAATCATCTAAAAAGAAATCAGTCAAATTCCTTCTGAATGAGGAATATTGTGTTCAAATTTGAAGACGAAAGCTTCAGTGTGGAGGAAAATATTTACGAAGAAAATTGTCAATTTTTTGTTTGTTGGATCACCCAGTATTTTTCATTGAAAGTCAGACAAACGAATAACCTTTAAGATGATACCAATAACTCCATGTGCGCAAAATCTGACGAGCGCCTGAATCCACGACGCCGTAACACATTTATTTATAAAAACAGTTTGAATTTAAAACTTCCACACAATTTTAAAATACGGACACTGGGCAAAAGGAAATACTTATGCTAAATAAACAGACAGTTTCAACTGCAGTGGTAAACAGTATATTATGGTGTTTTTTTTATTCTAAAGTTAAACTCTTGCTAGTAGAATGCCAAACCAATTCATACTCTCCAAGCTCACAGCTATACAGTAATCCTGTTGAATACCTGTCTGAGTTGAAACACATTGTTTATTTTCTGAGAGCTACGTCCGAAATGCTAATCACCCCCTTCCCCCCCTCCCCCCCTCCCAGAAAAGAATACAATTTCAAAAGTAAATATGCTTGAAATTTAGAAAAAAGAGGCTAAAAGTATCAGAAGTGTATCAAGGTAAGAAGTAAAAGGGTTTGGGGGAATTTTGTCACGAAACAGCGGCCATCTTGTGTATCCTCACACAGTACAACTAATA